CAAGTATTACAGCAAAAACGAATATGTTTAGTGCAAATATTGAAAATTATAGGGCAAGATACATGCCGAACCGAAACTATCGCCTTTGAATTTATAGCTTTGAATTTATCGCCTTGAATTTATAGAATACGTGAAGAAATCGTATACGAATGCACAGTAGGACAAAGACGGGATTCATCGATTTATGAAAGTCGTTTCAGATCATACGCGCATTAGAAAATACAACAGGCAAGTTTCACCAGGAGTAACTCGATGTTGCGAGGGCGAGATAAATTTGCTCGCTTTCTCACTCCCTGCTGCCTCGAAATTGGGCCAGGCAAAGGCTGCTCTCTATTGCTAGACGAATTGTTGCAAAAGAAGAGGGTTTTATGAAATTGGCGAGGAGAATTTCGAGGAATTGACCGGTAATTTATCACCGGCCTAAGCCAAACGATCTTACTTGAGTATCACGTGAACTACAACATCCGCTAAATTTTCAACACGAAGCCTAAGCTCAGATGTATACAAAAAGAAATATTTACAAATTTATCGACCATAACAATATTATTGGCAATTCGTTGGATGAAGTCATTACAGATGTGCCTTTATTATAATTTACTGCTGCTATCATATCGAATCCATAAGTTATATTAAAATTTAACAATCGATGACTTTGGATAGAATTACACTACTTATTGTTTTAATTTTATAAGAATACTTTTTTAACTAAACGTCAAAGATATAATTTTTTTTTCTCAAATACATATAAAAATAGATGATAGCCAATTTCAATTAATTTTGCACATGTCTAACGCACATGTTCAATTGTATAAGAATTCATAAAGATTAATAGCTCTAAAGATAATTAAAATGATCTAAGATTTTCATAGTGATCGTTAATTATACGATGAGCATTAAGCATTTAAACATTGTCAAGCCTCATCGAACTTCAATTTTTATTACACATTAAAAATCGAATCTTCTATATTAAATATTCAAAATCCGTATGTCATTTTTTAAATTAATTCCGATGCGCGCGCTCGTTTGTATATACATGAACGTATGCATATGTGTATAGTGACGCGTATCTAGTAAAACTTTTAAGAAAAGGATTATAGAGTGAAAAATCTAGGGTTTAGGGTCATAAAATATTATTATCGGATTCTTTTAAAAGTTATAGCTCTCATTTATTTACTCGATGATTTGATTTCAAAATGCCTTTAAAATAATATTTATTGACATTTTTAGTAATTTATTCGTACATTTAATTATCGCTCATATCTCAATCCGGCGAAAAAAAAATCTCAAGTAATGCGGTAATGACTTTAAAGCGAGGTAGTAAAGTACAATAACAATAAGATTATTAATCATCGGTCAACAACAAATATTTCTAGTATTCTAAATTCCTCGGATACATACGCATTTATACGACTACAAAATGATTTATATGACTCGATCGAAAAAAGTAATGCGCCCGAATTTCATCTACATTGAGATCACATACAGCGAGGAGCTTATTCTTGGGTGATTCGGGGACACGAGTGAAAGTAGCATCGACGAGGAAGAAAAAGAGTTCGCGTGTACCGCATCTTTGCGCTTAATAATTGCTCGCGTGGCTCTCGCCAGGAGTGGGCGGCATTCGCGCATCTCGCGAATGACCTGATTACGATATCGGGACGCGAAAGCGGAATTTTACCCGTCACTGCCCCCGTTTCATTTATTTATTTATTTTTTGTTTTTTGTTTTTTTTTGTTTTTTTGTCTTTTTGTTTTTTGTTTTTGTTTGTTTTTTATTTTGTCGAGGCAATCGAAGGAAAGTGGCGCAATCACCGCGGTTATTATTGCAAGGTGATGACGGACAGTTTAATGGTTTCCCTCGAAACTTTCGATCTCGTAGTGTAGTAGACACCAAGGGAAAGTAAGCGAAGCTCCGACTCTACGATTCGCGAGTATTAGGATATATAAAGGCGGACTATGAATTTATGAAAATCTATTTGAGACATTATTGGAGAGAAGTGGACAATTCTCTTTAATCGAACCCTCAAACTCAGTGCTGAATTGTCCAAGTAGATCTCAATTCGTTGATGAATTGCATTAAGTATGGACTATGTGTTAATAAATGGAGAGAGAGTCGGAAGATTTAAGTAGCAGAGCAGATGTAATAAATTTATCTAAAAGAGAATAATGTTGATGATATTCATAGAAATTAAAACAATTATTCCTCTTCCTTGACATGTGCACCTGTATTATAGCATATTAGAAATAAGAAAGTATTTAATATGAAAAAATAAATTTGAAAATTTCAAGTAATTTAAAATAAATTGAGCGTAATAAAAATAAAAGCTGAAAACTATTTTAAGTACAATAAATTTATATATAATTTTATGTCCTAGAATATATGACTCGATAAAAAGAATAAGCATTAAAAGTAAGATGTACTTATTTAGACGTAAACTTTTTGAAACTGTGCTTCGTTATAGTACTTCTTATATTAAAACGCTTCATAGTAAAAAATTCGTAACTATATATATTATTTAAATTAATGTTGTGAATATTTCGTATTTAAATTGACTATCATAATGCGCTTGTAAATAAAACTGTATATTTATTATTTGATGGATTAAATTTGTGAAGACAAAAACAAATTGACGAAAAATGAAACAATATAAATGGCAAACAACGTTTTAAATTATTATGTTAAATAAAAATTTAATATAAAATTTTTTATTTTATAAAAATAAAAAAAGAATACATCTACTTTGCAAAAGCAACAAAATAAACATTGGTAATAAACATTATCTTTCATACTCTATAACGAGGTTTATAGAATTTCTTTCCATAAATCGATGAGCATAAGCATTTACAATAAAGCTCTTAATAATGCCTGTAGCGATAATGTGAAAACTGGAAACTGGAAAAGAACGAGGAAAAGAACATGAGCTCACAGAAAGCTTATCGATGTCCAAGTAGTACATCCTTCAGGCATTTTCCGACTCAGTCCGGCAACTCCAGTCTTCACAATCTTGTAATCTCACGGAAAATCAAATTCGATGCAGGCCAGTGCACTCGCGGACCCATACCCTCTCCCCTTAAATTTTCTCTCGATGCTCCGGCCTTATCGTGGGCGTCTCTGACCCGCTGGCCCACTTGGAGCCCCGATCGTCGTTTCCGCGTGCACGGGTTATGGGCAATGATGAGCCGATTTAACGGAGACCTTCTCTAACGGCGAAAGCGGCGCGTGTCTCGCCGTCGGTGAAAGTGTTTTATCTCAGCCGTTCGCGTGCCGCTGCTTTTACAATATATATTCGTTCGTTCATGTTCGTTTCTTTATTGATGTCCGTGAGTCTAATGAGTCGTAAGCGAAGATTTTTTATGTTGCCGACTCTCTATTTTGTTTCTAAATTTATATAAAAGTGCCGTGCTTTGTAGTAAAGTAACTGCGTGAGGGCTTTTCGTAGCTTGGTCGCTTAATTTTTATTATTAAAAGAGTTGTTTGTTGTAAGCTTCGAAAGAAAAAACTAATTGTTTTAAATTAATAATATAAAATATTTTAAATGATAACGTTTTAATCGTTCATTCGTAAAGATAAATTCGTAAAATTACTACTACTACTACTACTAACAACATATGTAAATTATGTATCGTATATTTAAAAGATATTTTATGAGTACATAATGTATTATAGTATATTATAATAAGAATAAAAAATGTCTAGTCCCCGATAATAATAAATAAAGAAGAATATGACAATACGACAAAAAGAATTTTCGTGTCCAAATTAAAATTTACTTTATGCATTACCATAGAATAAATGCACCGAGCATTTTATGCACCTCGTTTGTTGATAAAAGGTTATTGTTTGATTATACACATTACCTTTTCAATTTTCATGCAATCATAAATATTTCTCGTGATTAATATTTACTATGCTGTATTAGACTAAATTTAATTATGTGTTAATTAATTGCCAACAAATTGCCTACCGTTCAATTTTATACGTTAGATTAATCTGTGAATATTTTTACAAATTGATACATATATCAAATTGCTTTAAATCAATTTTTTATCCTTTATATTTTGAGGCTTTTTTTCATAATTTTTAATTTACTTTATTAAGCTTGATTATCAAAAAGAACGCATAACTTTATAACATAGTATAATTTTTTATATAATAAGTTTAACAGTTTCACATTGTGTAATACAAAATTTAATAATTATTCAACCTTTATTATTGATTCATGATCAAGCATTATGTTATGAGAATACACGGATAGGACTTTTTTTTATGAAAAGCTTTAAAGTAATTAAATTCTTTTTAATGACATTAAGTATCAATACATTAACACTTACCTTAAATAGAATTGAATTATTCTTGTAATATGACGTTGTAGCAATAATTTTAATTACATGCTATAATCGTGGCTATTAGTATTTAGATAAGAAAAAAAGATGTAGGAAAATAGAGCAAATAAGTGGCATTTATTTTTTACATTAACTAATTATTAAAATTGTGTATTATATTTTACAAGTATATTAAATTAACTTGTGAACATTTTATGTTTTTCATAAATATAAGCCAATTTTTTCATTTTACTAACTATGTATTTAAAAATTGATCTTATTTTATTACTTATATTAAATACCAAATATATTTTCGAAATATAATGTAATGTTTGTCAATAAAAATAGTGAATATACGACAAAGCATTTATATTAAAACTCTATTGGACAATATCTTAAAATAATTAGCGACAGAAGTCTAATCCTCCCTTTTATACATTTATATTATATACTGTTTATTATTATCAATGCTATTTGATAGTAAGTGTTTCGATACCTTAAATATTAAAACAAAAATCGACATGTATTTGTGTATGAGCGCGGGCGTGCGTGCATGCCTTATCACATGTGATTTTAAATGACTTTTCCAAAAATTTAATAAAATAAATTATATTCATAGATCTATCATAATAATTTATATCATTTTCTAATGCAGCAATAACGCATCGAAATTCATTATATTTATAAAGGTGATTTTCTTTTCATAAGCTCGTTTTGTATTTGTTGAAGCGATTTTCCTTTTGTTTCTGGTAGTAAAATTACTACCCATACAGTACCTATTATGGTTAATCCAGCATAAATCCAAAAAACGTATTCCTCTCCCAAAGTATCGACTAATGGTTGATAAGATTTTGTAGTTAAAAAAGCAAAAAAGCAACCAGACAAAGTTGATATACAGGCACCTACATTTTTAATTTTGTCAGAGAAAATTTCGCTTAATATGATACTAGGAACTTTGGTAAATCCTATTGAACATGATATTAAATGTATATTAATAGAAACGATTAATAACCATTGTAAATAAGATACGTCAAACTCCTTATGCAATAAATAAAAATATATTCCCAAAGCGAATAGTGAAAGGATTGTACCAACGCTTGATATTATTAATAATATTCTCCGACCAAATTTATCATTTAAAGTAAATGTTGATATTGATACTATAACACTGATAATATTAGCATAAATAACGCATTTGTCAGAATTGATTAAATTAAATTTTCCAACGTTAAGAATTATTTCCATATAGGACATTATAGTAAGTATTCCACACAAATGTGGCAGTGCAAAAAGTACGATAATAACGAGAATTGTTTTTTTAACAACTGGATGTTTGAATTCCATAAAATTATTTTTTATATTCTTCGTATCTTTGTTTTGCATAAAAACATTTGATTCTAACGATTCATGCTCTATATTAGAATCGATACCATAAAAGGTAATGGACTTACTAGCTTTTTCAAATTTATTCATCTTTATAAAGTACTGTGGCGAATCATAAAGGCATAAAAATAATACTATAGTTATCAAGCACTGACATAAATAAATCGTACTCGATATCTTCATAGGCAAATACGTTTCTGTAATCAGTCCAAAAATAATTCCAAAAGGATTACCACTTGATGCTATTGAGATCAAGGTGCCACGAATTTTTGGTACTGTGACTTCTGCTAAGAAGATCGAAAAACAGGATAAGGTCATCGCACTCGTAATCCCGCTCAAAAACCGTGATATGTATATCCACATAGCAGACTCGGCAATAATCAAGCACAGCCAAGAGATACTAATCAAAACGAGGATTAGCAAAATTGTTTTTCTATTACCAATTAATCCCATGAAAATCAATCCTACAATCGCTCCTAGCAATGATCCAAGCGTTGCACAAGAGACTAACCAAGACGCTTCTGTGGGCGTCAGCGTAATGAATGAGTTATTATGAGTAAGTCGAGCAATATTTGGTGATATCCACCCAATTTGTATTCCGAATTGCATCATCGTTAGAAACACTAAAACACATTAAATCTCATTATCAACAATACCACTTTTAATATATATAGCAATCAAATCTTGTACACGGTTCGATTCTACAATCATACACTTTATATTAAATCCAAATTCACCATTGTGCACAAAATCTTCTAATTTATTTTTTTAATGTAGAAAATACACGATATAAGTAACTGCTTTGTAATTTACCTCCTAATGTAACAGTCCATACAATCCATGATTTATTATGGATATGGTTGTTGTTCCGTTTTTCAATGTAAAACATGATGACTTGTGAGAGGAATATTTCAAGCAACTAAATGAATTTCGTTCAATATTTCTTATCATCATCGATCCAGTTAATATATATTACATTATATTGATAAGATAAGATTCATTCAGTTATTTGAAAAAATTTGATTATATTGAATTTAATTAAAAAATATGTTATTTTTGTTAAGGATATAATTTATTAATTAAAATGTTATAATATTATTGATTATAACAAATTTTACTTGTATTTATTTCTCAACATGTTATCTTAAAGAATAAATCATTTTTAAAACAACAAGATCAAATTATAAATGTAAATATAAATTAAAATAGAGTAATAAATAAATCTTCATTCCCTCCTTCCTTTATCTAAAACTATTTTATAAGTTCAGGTATTCTTCTTATTTTAAAAAAAAAATTGGTCTATTTTAAGGAAAATGATATCGAAGCATAACATACACAATCGTACACTTTTCATTCAAATAGTATAGTCTACAAAATTTGACTATATTATATAAAATATTTTTTACGGATATCGAAATTTCACTTGCTCTATATTTACATTATCGTCTTTTAAATAGTAATGATAAGATAAATATATACTCTATTTTTTCAAATATTGAACATTATATTTCCAAAATATCACATTATCTATTTGATATTTCTATCAAATATATCTCGTGTTAATTAAAATACTTTATTAAAATTCGATCAATATGAGAAAGTATTTATATTTTTACTAATATTTTTACTAAAGAGAGAAATAGATAAATTCATAAATATATTTTAATAAAAAAGTATTAATTTCAATAAAGTTAAATATACAAAAAAATATAAATAAGCATGGAAATACTAAATTTGGCATTACATTTAATATATATTATAATTTCTAAAAAGATCCGAAATTTACAAATAACTGTAAATCTATCAATTTTCAAATTTCTATTGCATATTGTTTATTACTGATTAATTTGGAAAAACTAATTGAAATAATTCTGTATAATTTTTCTAATATTGATCAATATTTTTTAAAAGTATGCAATGATTTTACTTTTTTCAATAAAAAGTTCTTTGACACATTATTGAATTTAATGAAGAAAAATCGGTTAATAAGAATTACTGTTTTAGTTAATAATTTATGCAATTTTAATAAAAAAAAAATCAAAAATATTTAATATAAAATAATTAATACATATGATTTATTTTAAAAATTTATTTATTAAATTTATTCAATAAATAAGCGCACTATGTTGGTCACATGTTTATTTTCAAATGTCAACTAGAAAATTTGAAAAAATGAAAAACTAAATACATTTTCAAGCTCAAAAAATATTTTATCAATATATTTATTTAAATGAAAATCATTTTGAAAAATGAAAATGCCAATGAATCACGTTATATTTAACCCAAAAATTTGCATGAATTATGCATTAAAATTTTTTATTTATTTAAAAGTCTCGAGTGTTTCATGAAAAAAGTAAATACATATTTTCTTCTTTAAACAAAACGTTTTTCATTCTCTATTCAATAGCTATACTTCAGGTATACAGAGCTTCATCTATTCTTATATCAAATTATATTTACAAGATACAAAGAAATATAATGCCCTAGCAGTGTTGACTCGGACTTGACCGCATTTACACGGTCATTTTTCTTTGGGCATTTTTAAATTCTGACGATTACACGAATTTCAATATATATAATATAGTAATTGTTTTATAAGTAGCAATAATTTATCATTTATAGTAAAGCATAAAGTTGATGATTCGGATTTAAATAATCCGTACAATTAAGGATTAAATGTGATTATTAAATAGGATTATTTAATAATCGGTATTATCATAATGGGTAAAGATTTTTCTACAATAAAGCCTCAAAATAAGTGTCTACGACCTTTAAAAATCTATTAGAAAGTTCATTAAACTGCAACAACGTTTTATCTGATTACATAAATCACATTAATACATGTATTAAAATTAATTAAGGCCTCGTTTATTGTCCTTGCGAGAATATATTTTCACTATTGATCCAAAAATTAATTGATATGATGTAAAAATGAAATCTATCTGTATTTATTATGTTTAATTTAGCTACTTGTATTTCGAGTAGCCTTCAAAGTCCATTTTGAAACATGTCACAATTTTTAAATTTTCAATAGAGGCAAAGATTATTAAATAATTTAGCGACAACATTTAATGTCCTTGTACAGAAATATGACTTATCTTCCGTGAAGGAGCGAAGAATCTAATATATTTGTGACAGAAATTATTTTCGGTATAAATATTTTCAGTAAGAAACAAACGACATCCTTGAAAACCAGTTTTACATATTTAAAATGAAATAAAGCGTTGCTAAATTAGGGTAAGTGTTATTTCCTGCTTCGCTAATTTTTCATCATCTCGCCTAAGTGTTTTAAACAACAAGAAATGTGAAATTTCATTTGCCCATACCGGACAATAAATTTGCATCGAAGATAACAAAAGAAAAATATAATGAATAGCGAGGCGAGCTCATCGGAAAATCGAACAAACGGAATCGACGTAATTATGCATAATAAAGGCGCGTACGGTAATTCGTGCCTTCGCGCGCTCATCATCGCTGACATTGAACTTTTTTCTTTCTAACGCGACTTCGCTTCTACCCACGGCTACTAATAACGCGCGCTAGAGCGAACGGGAGAGAGATGTAGTGGGGAATCGAAAACGCCTAGTTCGCGCGTACAATCGTTTTGGGGTCACGACCTACTTAGCGCGACATCGGCGGTGACGGCGCCCTACGATGAAGTACACTCACCGGCCATGACACGATACATCTCACTCACTCACTCTCTCTCTCTCTCTCTCTCTCTCTCTCTAACTCACTCACTCACTCGCACTCGTGCCACATAATTGTAGTATGCGCATGAAAGACGTTTACGTACGACAGGAGTTTAACGAGCGCAGCGTCGTAGGACAAAAGCGGACTCTTTTTAGGGCTCCCAAAGATTTCCCTCGTGGCTTAGGTACTCTCGTGACTTTAGAATTTTCATTAGGTAGCGTATTGTTATCCCGGCTTTGAATCACGAATATTTCCGAGAGGGAAGCTTTGTTTGCGCGTAGATGCGTGCGTACCTGCGTGCCTACGCTGGCACACGTGTGTGTATTCAAAAAATGAATACGTTTTGCGAGAAAATGAATAGATAAGTAGGCATTTTATATAATCAATGCATATAATGAGATACGATAGATTATTATAAAATATGTGAAAGTACGGGAAAATATTTACATTGTCGGATTTTCAAAACAAATGAGCAGTCATTGCGGCTTAAAATGTTTTTTCTTCGACATTCGAAAGATAAAATTAATATTCGTTCACTAAACTAACCATGAAATTTATGCGTATAAAGACATATTATAAAGAATAACAAGTCTGTAATCGAAGACCTCGATCTATTAAGAAATTCTTATCTGGCGTTTAGATTAAACAAATCGTTAGCGAAATACATTTTTTACGGTGTGATACAAATCAAAGTAAAAGATATGTTAATTAAAAAAGTATTTATTGCGCGTTCGTTTAAAATATAAAAGATGTTTTTATTTTACTGTCATGATATGCAATCGATGCTAATTGGAACACATTTTGCATAATAATAAGAATGCATGATTAAAAAATTAATTCCATTTGAAATTATTTCATTATTTATTATGCTAATATTATACAAATTGATTTAAATTATAACATATTATTTAGAATATATATATATATATATATATATATATATATATAATATATAGAATATAGTTTGCATCTACATTACTGTATAACATACTTTTAAGAATCATAATTTATAATGTTATTAAATTATTTAGATTAAATCAAATGTTTTATCAATCAATTCAATATAATTTTCTACTATGATTGCTAGAGTTCAATAGTTAATCTCTGCATATGAATATATATGATACATGTATAAGTGATATGTGTATAAATAAAATATGGACTAATAATAAGTAACGTTTTAAAATGATTAATAAAGAAATTAATATTTTATTTATCAATGTGAAGACAAATTGATTGAAGTTATATTTGCCGAATTGGCATAATTGTGGAGAAATTTCATGCCATTACATCTATCGATCTACATACGATTAATTTGAAATGATTCTTAAACAAAACTAAATTGTTAAATTATGAAACTAACAAACTACACTTCATGAAAAGTTTTTTGCAAATTAAATTAGTACTAATATTGTAAATTCCTGTATATATCAATTAGGGATTAAAATATAATCTTTAATAACTTTATGAAGATTCGAATATATTACTTATATAAATTTAGATGATTTGATTTTCAGTATAACAATACCTTAATTGAAAAAAAATAAATATAAAAATCTTCAAATAAAAATATAAAGTTTTCTTTAGCATCAAATTATATATATTTTTGGAAACATTCATATTAAATATTTGAAATTAATTTTCTGCATTTATCTGAATCAATTCATATACACATGATTATATTACTGTAAATATTTATATTGTATAGAATGTTCGAGTACATTATTAGCTGAGAACCTATTATTCTTTCTGACAAACTAAATAAATAACAGTTAAATTGATTTTTACAATCATAATATATATATATATATATTTATTCTTTAATATTAGTTTTACAAATATACATATTTAGGATTTTATTTTTATTCACTACTCTTATAAGTTATTTTAATACTGATGATATCATAAACAATTTTTATTGCATAACTATTCAAAAGTGATATTTTTCTACGCTGTATTAAGTTAAAGAAAATGCATTAAAAATAACCTTAAAAGAATTTGTAAGCTATTTTGTTATTAAAAAAAAATTGTGAAATTTGTTAATCTAAAATTTTTTAAAATAATTATTTAAAAAATTAGAAAAATTATTATAATAATTATATAACAGGTCTTCCAATAATAATTAATAAGCATTTTTTCTTTTATGTATATATATTGATCATACAAACGATGTATTTACAAATATATT